GGGTCTGGTGGCAGGCGCCTGTAATCCCAGCTACTCGGGAGGCTGAGGCAGGAGAATCAGTTGAACCCGGGAGGCAGAGGTTGCGGTGAACTGAGACCGCACCATTGCACTCCAGCCTGGTCAACAAGAGCAAAACTGCATCTCAAATAATAATAATAATAATTCAACCTACCTTTGTAAATGATAGCTTACTTAAACCTTGAACTCCTGGGCTAAATCGATTCTCCCCCCCTTAGCCTCTCAAGTAGCTGGGATTGCAGGTGTACACCACTTGGCTAATTTTTCTTTTAATTTGGTACAGATAAGGTCTGGCTGTGTTGTCCAGGATGATCTCAAACTCCTGAGCTCAAGGGATCCTATAGCCTTGGCCTCCAAAAGAGCTGAGATTACAAGTGTGAGCCACTGTGCTGGTCCTTAGAGGATTACTAAAGACAGGCTAACACCAAACTAAAACTCTTCTCTATGAAAACATTGGAATGTATTTGCAAAGAAGACAGTTTCCCCGGCCGAGTGCAGTATCTCATGCCTGTAATCCCAGCACTTTGGGAGGCTGAGGCTGGCAGATCACCTGAAGTCAGGAGTTCGAGACCAGCCTGACAAACAGGGAGAAAACCCATCTCTACTAAAAATACAAAATTAGCTGGGTGTGGTGGCACATGCCTGTAATTCCAGCTACTCGGGAGGCTGAGGCAGGAGAATCACTTGAACATGGGAGGTGGAGGTTGCGGTTAGCCAAGATTGTGCCACTGCACTCCAGCCTGGGCAACAAGAACGAAACTCCATCTCAAAAAAAAAAAAAACAACTTTTCTTCTTTCTCTTTCTCTGTTTCTTTTTGTAGAGAGAGGGTCTCACTATGCTGGCCAGGCTGTTTTCTAACTCCCAGCCTTCAAGAGATCCTCCTGCCTTGGCCTCCCAAAGTGCTGGGATTTCAGGCATGAGCCACCCAACCTGGTCTCTCTCTTCATGGCATGTCCTGAGGCATGTGTACATCATCTGGGGCACCACATGCCAAATCTGGCCTGAGGAAAAATGGGTGCCAGGCTGTGTAGGGAGTTCAGCTGCAGGGGTAAGGAAGGCCCTCGAGGGCCAGTAGAGTGCATGCACACGGGTGTGATGCTCTCTGTCTGCAGACCACTGCTGTATCAGTCAGTCACCCCATGCCTAGGAGGCCCTCCCCATCTCTCTGACCACCTGCCCCTGAATCACACTGCTCCAGCTGCCACGGGGTCCTCCCTGCTGCTTTTCCTATAAGCTAAGCAGGGTCCAGTCTCTGGGCCTTTGTATTTTGCTGCTTCCTCCACTCCATGGCCACACAGGCTTCTCCTTGCCCTTCCAGTCCAAACAAAGTTTTTCTTCCTTTGTGGAAGAGCTAAGTACAAGGTAGGACTTCATTTGGGAAAACAGACCTTGAGCAATCAGCCCCTCCACTCTGAGGCTCAGTTTGCTTAACTGCAAATATGGATAATAAGAAATGCACCAGGCTGGGTGCAGTGGCTCTCACATCTGTAATCTCAGCACTTTTTTTTTTTTTTTTGGCAGAGTTTCGCTCTTGTTGCCCAGGCTGGAGTACAATGGCACGATCTCAGCTCACCGCAACCTCCGCTTCCCAGGTTGAAATGATTCTCCTGCCTCAGCCTCCCAAGTACGTGGGATTACAGGCATACACCACCACACCTGTCTAATTTTGTATTTTTAGTAGACACAGGGTTTCACCGTGTTGGTCAGGCTGATCTCAAACTCCCGACCTCAGGTGATCTGCCTGCCTTGGCCTCCCAAAATGCTGGGATTACAGGCATGAGCCACTGTGCCCGGCTAATCCCAGCACTTTGAAAGGTTGAGGAAGGTGGATCATTTAAGGTCAGGAGTTCAATACGAGCCTGGCCAATATGATGAAACCCCGTCTCTACTAAAAATACAAAAATTAGCCGGGCCGGGTGGTGGGCGCCTGTAGTCCCAAGTACTTGGGAGGCTGAGACAGGAGAATTGCTTGAACCTGGGAGGCAGAGGTTGCAGTGAACAGAGATGGCCCCGTTGCACTCCAGCCTGAGTGACAGAGCAAGACTCTGTCTCAAAAACAAACAAACAAAAAGAAATAAAGAAATGCACTCGAACTCACCTTTCAGGGCTGTCCTGAGCTTTAAAAGCAGACAGATACCAAGAGCCTTTAAATGTAAAAGAATCAGCAGGCAGAAAGCACTTAAGAACCAGGCACTGTTGCTGGGCGTGGTGGTTCACGCCTGTAATCCCAGCACTCTGGGAGGCCAAGGCGGGTGGATCACCTGAAGTCAGGAGTTCAAGAATAACCTGGCCAACATGTCGAAACCCCAACTCTACTGAAAATACAAAAAAATTAGCTGGGCATGGTGGCGTGCACCTGTAGACCTAGTTACTCAGAAGGCTGAGGCACCAGAATTGCTTGTACTCGGGAGGTGGAGGTTGCAGTGAGCCCAAATCATGCCACTGCACTCCAGCCTGGGCAACAGAGGGAGACTCTGTCGTGGAAAAAGAAAAAGAAAAAAAAGTAGGTGCTGTTATTAGAATAATGCATTCTGGCTAGGTGTGGTGGCTGATGCCTGTAATCCCAGTACTTTGTGGGGTCCCCAGATGGGTGGATCACCTGAGGTCAGGAGTTCGAGACCAGCCTGGCTAACATGGCAAGACCCCCATCTCTACTAAAAATACAAAACTTAGCTGGATGTGGTAGCATGTGCCTGTGGTCCCAGACACTTGGGAGGCTGAGGCAGGAGAGAATTGCTTGAACCTGGGAGGCAGAGGTTGCACTGAATCAAGATCACACCACTGCACTCCAGCCTGGGTGATGGGGTGTGACTGTGTCTCCAAAAAAAAAAAAAAAAAAAAAAAAATGCATTCTGCATCTTTCCTGAGTCTTCCTCCAAAAGGAGTCCTGGGGTAACCCCAACTCTACTTCCTACAGCTCTGGGACCTTAGATTAAGGCTTCCCTGCTCTGGGCCTCAGTCTTCTCACCTGAAAAATAGAGGTAATAACCACTTCTTCCCTAACAAGTGAGAGTCAGAGGAGGGAAAGACTCAGAACTATGCCTCATCTATAATGACCCTGAGTCAGTGTGGATATTGTCACCATTTTTTTTTAATTGTTTGCTTTAGAGACAGTCTTGCTCTGTCACCCAGGCTGGAGAGCAGAGGTACGATCATAGCTTACTGCAGCCTGGAACTCCCGAATTCAAGGGATCCTCCCACCTCGGCCTCCTGAGTAGCTGTGATCACAGGTGCATGCCACCATGCCCAGCTTATTTATTTATTTTGTAAAGACAGGGTCTCACTATGTTGCCCAGGCTGGTTTCAAACTCCTAGGCTCAACTGATCCTTCCCACCTCAGCCTCTGAAAATGCTGGGATTACAGGCATCAGTCACCAGGCCTGGCCCATGCTGGGCTCTCTACACTCACTAAAAACTAATAGTGCCTAGGGGCAGTGGTGCATGCCTATAGTCCCAGCTGCTGGGGAGGCTGAGACAGGAGGACTGCCTTAGCCCAGGAGGTTGAGGCTGGACTGAGCCGTGATAATACCACAGCACTCCAATCTCAGCAACAGAGCAAGACCCCATCTTAAAAAAGAAAGAAAGAGCCGGGCGCGGTGGCTCACCCTGTAATCCCAGCACTTTGGGAGGCCGAGGTGGGTGGATCATGAGGTCATGAGATCGAGACCATCCTGGTCAACATGGTGAAACCCCGTCTCTACTAAAAATACAAAAAATTAGCTGGGCATGGTGGCGCATGCCTGTAATCCCAGCTACTCAGGAGGCTGAGGCAGGAGAATTGCCTGAACCCAGGAGGTGGAGGTTGCGGTGAGCGGAGATCGCGCCATTACACTCCAGCCTGGGTAACAAGAGTGAAACTCCATCTCAAAAAAAAAAAAAAGAAAGAAAGAAAGAAAGAAAAAAGAGGCCAGCGTCGTCTTTGGACTGGTAGATACAAACTAAGTGGAAATTGTTCTTATGTCTACTTTGCCTGTAATCCCAGCTACTTGAGAGGTTGAGGGAGGAGAACTGATTGAACCAGGGAGGTGGAGGTTACGGTGAGCCAAGATTGTGCAATTGCACTCCAGCCTGGGCAACAAGAGCAAAACTCCATCTCAAAAAAAAAAAAAAAAAATTAGGTGGGCATGATGGCATGTACCTATAGTCCCACCTACTCCGGAGGCTGAGGCAGCAGAATCAATTGAACCTGGGAGGTGGAGGTTGCAGTGAGCAGAGATCACACCACTGCACTCCAGCCTGGGCAACAGTGAGATTCTGTCTAAAAAATAATAATAATTTCTTTTTGCTACCTGCTCTTCACTTGAAGACTGAGACTTTGCTTCTTCCCATGGGCTTCAGAACAAATCCCTAAAAAACAAGCCAGTGTTATTTTCTTTTTTTTTTTTGAGACGGAGTTTCGCTCTTGTTACCCAGGCTGGATGGAGTGCAATGGCGCGATCTCGGCTCACCGCAATCTCCGCCTCCTGGGCTCAGGCAATTCTCCTGCCTCAGCCTCCTGAGTAGCTGGGATTACAGGCACGTGCCACAATGCCCAGCTAATTTTTTGTATTTTTAGTAGAGACGGGGTTTCACCATGTTGACCACGTTGGTCTCGATCTCCTGACCTCATGATCCACCCGCCTCGGCCTCCCAAAGTGCTGGGATTACAGGCTTGAGCCACTGCGCCCGGCCGCCAGTGTTATTTTCAATATTTTGTAGAGACAAGGTCTTGCTATGTTGCCTAGGCTGGCCTCCAACTTCTGGGCTCAAGTGATCCCCCGACTTTGGCCTCCCAAAGTACTGGGATTACAGTTCATGAGCTACCTTACTCAGCCTCATTTCTTTGTAGCACTGAATAATATCTCATTATCTTGAAGCACCACTGTTTATTCATTCAGCTATTGAGTGACACCTTTTCTACTTGCAAGTTTTGGCAATTATGTCACTGATTGCCTTTCACATCACTGACTGAGCCCTTTCAGAAACGTAACTGACAGGTCAATTTTGTCCAGCCAGGGCTCCTTTTATTCATTCAGGGGTGGGTTTTTGAAATGCAGTGCAACTTTTATAGAAAGTCGAGGGTGCCAGGAAAGTGAGCCTGCCAGGTGCAGGGAAGTGCGAGAAGCTTGCTGGAACGTTCCAGCTCTAAGGATGCCCTTGATACACTGGCCACAGCTGCTGTCCCAGAGGTGCAACGTGGACCTCAGCATGAGATCAGGGTGCCTGCTCCATCCAGAGCTCAGGACCGTGTACCTGTCCTTGACATGAACAACAAGTGTGCAAAAAACAAAAAAAAAAAAACCTGAAAATATCATCACACAGGATCACAGACTCGGCTCCGCGTGGTGTCTCTTGGCCTAAGAAGTATTCAGGCTGTGCAGGAAGTGTTGGGCAGTTTCTATCCTTCCACAGGACAGGGCATCGCCAGCTACCTCTGGGGTCTCTGCTGCAAGGCCCAGGGAGCCCAGCCTTCACACCGGTGTCTCCTCGGGCACCTTCTTCAGGAGTCCAGCCACCAGCGGAGAATGCTGGGGGCCCTCAGGGCCACTGGCCTCCTGGATCTTCAGGCGTACTTTCTGGTTCGTCTTTCTCCACTCAGAGTACAGCTGGCAATGGTAGCGGAAGGAGACCTGCGGGGCAGTCCTACAGTGAGCCGGAGCAGTGAGAAGGCCTTCCCTCCAAGGGAGGAAATCAAGTCCCTGTGGCACCTGCGTTGCCCAAACCAGGGCTGGGGCTCATGCTTCCAGGAACAGAGAGGGCTTATGAACATTTCTCGTACAAAGGGCACACACAGTCCAGCTGCAGTGGCTCATGCCTGTAATCCCAACACTTTGGGAGGCCGAAGTTGGGGGCAGGGGGATCACTTGAGCCCATGAGTTCAAGGCCAGCCTAGGCAACACATTAAGATCATGTCTCTACAAAATACTTAAAAATTAGCCAGGTGTGGTGGGTGGCCCAGGCCTGTGGTCCTAGTTACTCAGAAGGCTGAGGGAGGAGAATCATTTGAGCCCAGGAGGTTGAGGGTGCAATGAGGTGTGCTCAAGCCACTGTACTCCAACAGAGTGAGATCCTGTCTCAGAAAAAAAAAAAAATAAAAGGCTGGTGGCGGTGGCTCACACCTGTAATCCCAGCACTTTGAGAAGCTGAGGTGGGCAGATCATGAGGTGAAGAGATCAGGATCATCCAGGCCAACATGGTGAAACCCCATCTGTACTAAAAATACAAAAATTAGCCAGGTGTGGTGGCATGTGCACCTGTAATCGCAGCTACTTGGGAGGCTGAGGCAGGAGAATAGCTTGAATCTGTGAGGTGGAGGTTGCAGTGAGCCGAGATGGCACCACTGCATTCCAGCCTGGGGGACAAGAGCAAGACTTCATCACACACACACACACACACACACAAAGTGAATCCTAATGCGAACTATGGCTTTAAAGGGATAATGAAGGTTCACTGATTCTAACAAGTGCATTACCTTGGTACACAATGTTAATAGTGGGAGAGGCTGTGCAGGTTGTATGTGTATGGAGGGGGGTGATATACAGGAACTCTCTGTACTTTCTGCTAAATTGTGCTGTGAACCTAAAATTGCTCTAAAAACTAGTCTATCAAAAAAATTAAAAAATAAATATTGTGTGGCACAGTGGCTCACACCTGTAATCCCACCATTTAGGAGGCCAAGGTGGGCAGGTCACCTGAGCCCAGGAGTTCGAGATCAGCCTAACCAACATGGTGAAACCCCATCTCTGCCGGGCGCGCTGGCTCACGCCTATAATCCCAGCACTTTGGGAGGCCGAGGCGGGTGGATCACGAGGTCAAGAGATCGAGACCATCCTGGTCAACATGGTGAAACCTCGTCTCTACTAAAAATACAAAAATTAGCTGGGCATGGTGGTGAAGTGCCTGTAGTCCCAGCTACTCAGGAGGCTGAGGCAGGAGAAATGCTCGAACCCAGGAGGCGGAGGGTGCGGTGAGCCAAGATCATGCCATGGCACTCCAGCCTGGGTAACAAGAGTGAAACTCTGTCTCAAAAAAAAAAAAAAAAAAAAAAAAAGAAACCCCATCTCTACTAAAAATACAAAAATTAACCAGGCATGGTGGCAGATGCCTTAATCCCAGCTACTGAGGAGGCTGAGGCATGAGGATCACTTGAACCTGGAGGCGGAGGTTGCAGTGAGCCGAGATTGCACCATTGCACTGCAGCCTGGGCGACAGAGTGAGACTCCATCTCTATTGATCAATTAATCCATCAATTAATCAATCAATGTCAGTGGTTCACATTCTTTGACCAAGCAATTGCCCAAGAAACATTTGCATGGGCAATGCCCAAAGCACTGTTCATAATGGAAGAAAACAAAAAAAGAAATAAGTAGAAATAAAACCACACACACGTTGGAAAGAATCCCAGTGCCTGTCAAAAGCAATTGGTTAAATAAATATGGTACACCCATACAATGAATGTCTGCTGGGTGGCTGCCTCGTTGTGTGTGTGTGTGTGTGTATGTTTTTTTTAAGAATACCAGCAAAGTGAAAATAAGCAGATGCTAAAACAGTAGCTATTATTTAATCCTGTTTATACATTTTAAAATATGCTGGTAGGGGCCAGGCACGTGGCTCATGCTTGTAATCCCACCACTTTGGGAGGCTGAGGCAGGCTGATCACCTGAGGTCAGGAATTCAAGACCAGCCTGGCCAACATGGTGAAACCCCATCTCTACTAAAAATAAAAAATGAACCGGGCATGGTGGCATGGGCCTGTAATCCCAGCTACTCAGGAAGCTGAGACAGGACAATCACTTGAACCCAGGAGGCAGATGTTGTAGCAGTGAGCCAAGATCATGCCATTGCACTCTAACGTGGGTGACAGAGCAAGACTCTGCCTCGAAAAACAAAAAAAAAAGAAAAGAAAATGCTGGTAGGTGCATTGAAAAATACTTTGTGAGGCAGGGACTCCCCTGTAGCTGGACATAGTGGTTATGTCTGAGGGGCAAGATTAGGGAAGAACTTTTGCCTCTAAGCAAGGGTTCTGCTGCCTACCAGAGGCCCAGAACACCTCACACCCTCATCATTCCTGTCTGTCTCTGTCTGTCTCTCATTCAGGCTTTTTCTCTTTCTCTCTCTCTTTTTTTTTTTTTCAGACAGAGTCTTACTCTGTCATCCAGGCACCCAGGCTAGAGTGCAGTGGCATGATCTTGGCTCACTGTAACCTCCACCTCCCAAGTACAAGTGATTCTTATGCCTCAGCCTCCTGAGTAGCTGGGATTACAGGACTGCGCCACCACACCCATCTAATTTTTTGTATTTTTAGTAGAGATGGGGTTTCGCCGTGTTGCTCAAGCTGGTTTGAACTCCTGATCTCAAGTGATATGCCCCCCTTGGCCTCCCAAAGTGCTGGGATTACAGGTATGAGCCAAGGTATCCACCATTTTTTTCTTTTCCTTTTTCTTTCTTTCTTTTTTTTTTTTTTTGAGACAGAGTTTCCCTCTTGTTACCCAGGCTGGAGTGCAATGGCACGATCTCGGCTCACCGCAACCTCTGCCTCCTGGGTTCAAGCAATTCTCCTGCCTCAGCCTCCTGAGTAGCTGGGATTACAGGCACGTGCCACCATGCCCAGCTAATTTTTTGTATTTTTAGTAGAGACAGGGTTTCACCATATTGACCAGGATGGTCTCGATCTCTTGACCTCGTGATCCACCCGCCTCGGCCTCCCAAAGTGCTGGGATTACAGGCTTGAGCCACCGCGCCCGGCCCTTTTTCTTTTATTAATAGTATTATCTTCTTCAAGACAAGGTCTGGATCTGTTGCCCAGGCTGAAGTGCAGTGATGCAGTCTCAGCTCACTGCAGCCTCTGCCTCCACTGCTCAAGCGATCCTCCCACCTCAGCCTCTGGAGCAGCTGAGACTACAGGCACACACCACTGTGGCCAACTAACTTTTGTATTTTTTGTAGAGATGGGATTTTGCCACTTTGCTCAGGCTGCTCTTGAACTCATGAGATCAACCAATCTGCGTGTCTTGGCCTCCCAAAGTGCTGGGAAAACAGGTGTGAGCCTCCACACCTGACCCTATTATTTTTTGAGATGGGGTCTTACCATGTTGCCCACGCTGATCTTGAACTTGTGGGCTATGGCAATCCTCCTGCTGCGGCCTCCTAAAATACTGGGATTATAGGCAGGAGGCACCACACCAGGCCTTTTTTCTTTTATTGATACTGGGTCTTGCTTTATCACCCAGGCTGGAGTGCAGTAGTGTGATCACAGCTCACTGCAGCCTCAAACTCCTGGGCTCAAGTGATCCTCCTGACTTAGCCTCCCAGGTAGCTGCAACTACAGACATTTATCACCATGCTCAGCTAATTTTTATAATTTTTTTGTAGCCACGGTGTCTTTTTATGTTGCCCAGGTTGGTCTTGAACTCCTGGCTTCAAGGGATTTTCCCACCTTAACCTCCTAAAGCATTGGGGTTACAGGTATGAGCCACCATGCCCAGCTAATTATTTTCCTTTTGTAGAGATAGGGGTCTCCCTATGTTGCCCTGCTAGTCTCAAACTCCTAATCTCAAGTGATCCTTCCACCCTGGCCTCTAGAGTAGCTGGGACTACAGGTGTGTACCATCACTAATTTTTAAATTTTTTGTAGAGATGGGCATCTTGCTTTGTTTCCCAGTCCTGGTCTTGAACCTCCTTGCTTCAAGCAATCCTCCTGCCTTGGCCTCCCAATGTGCTAGGATTGCAGGTGTTTCAGCCACTAAGCCTGGCCTTGCTCAGTGTTTTAATCTCAGTTCCTCTCTCTCTTCCACTTCAATTTCTTTTTTATTTTTTACTTTTATTTTTTTGAGACAGAGATTCACTCTGTTGCCCAGGCTGGAGTGCAATGATGCAATCTTGGCTCATTGCAACTTCCGCCTCCTAGGTTCCAGTGAGTCTTCTGCCTCAGCCTCCTGAGTAGCTGAGATGACAGGAATGTGCCACCAGGCCTGGCTAATTTTTATATTTTTAGTAGAGTTGGGGTTTGGTCAGGCTGGTATCAAAATCCCGACCTCAGGTGATCCACCGGAGTCAGCCTCCCAAAGTGCTGGGATTACAGGTGGGAGCCACTGTGCCCATCCTCCCTTTCAATTTCTTAATCAATATCTATTTCCCCACTATCTTGTTCTCCCGCAGTCTCTCTCAGTCTTTTGCTTCTCTCTGCCCACTCCTAATCTTAGGGGTTCATGGATGGGGGTTCCTACACTCAGGTCAAGGCTCATACCTGGCTCAGGGATTCCCTAGACCTTTGTCACACTTGGAATCTGGAGCTTCCGGAGAGGCAGGGCAACCTCAGAAGCTCTCTTCCACCCAGGGCCATAGGAAGAGGCAGCCAGAAAGCCCCGTACCCCACAAGCCAGGGGCCAAATCCCTGGCCCTGCTGCTCCTGGTGGCAGAGCTCTGGATGCATGCTGCACAGTCTTGGCCACTCACCAGTGTCCAGAGGACATAGATGGTGAAGAGGGCAATGGTCAGGGCAATGAGACCCACGGCCTCCAGCTGGCTGTGGAGCCGGAGGTGGTCCTGGGCCCCGCGCAGGCACAACCAGCCTGAGATGGCGGCCAGGGGCGTGATGAACAGGAAGCACACCATGTCACAGCACAGCGTCCGCTTCTCCGTCCGCGGTCCCGGGTCCTTCAGCCACTGCAGAGAGAGGACAGGGGAGAGGGGGCAGGGAAGGGGCTGCTGAGGGTGAGGGATCAGGACCTCCAGGCCTGGGCCTCCCTCTGTCTTTTCCTTTTCTTTTTTTTGAGATGTAGTCTCGCTCTGTTGCACTGGCTGGAGTGCCACTGCACCTGTCATCCCAGCTACTCGAGAGGCTGAGGCAGAGAATTGCTCGAACCCAGAGGGCAGAGGTTGCAGTGAGCCTAGATCGCACAACTGCAACAGCTGGGGCAACAGAGCAAGAATCGGTCTCAAAAAAAAAAAAAAAAGAAAGAAAGAAAGAAAAGGGCAGGTGTAGCCGGGCGCGGTGGCTCAAGCCTGTAATCCCAGCACTTTGGGAGGCTGAGGCGGGTGGATCACGAGGTCGAGAGATCGAGACCATCCTGGTCAACATGGTGAAACCCCGTCTCTACTAAAAATATAAAAAACTAGCTGGGTGTGGTGGCGCATGCCTGTAATCCCAGCTACTCAGGAGGCTGAGGCAGGAGAATTGCCTGAACCCAGGAGGCGGAGGTTGCGGTGAGCCGAGTTCGCGCCATTGCACTCCAGCCTGGGTAACAAGAGCGAAACTCCGTCTCAAAAAAAATAAAAAATAAAAAAATAAAAAAAGAAAAGGGCAGGTGTAGCGGCTCATACCTGTAATTCCAGCACTTTGGGAGGCAGAAGCTAGTGGATCACTTGAGGTCAGGAGTTCGAAACCAGCCTGGCCAACATGGTGAAACTCCATCTCTACTAAAAATGCAAAAAATTAGCTGGGCATGGTGGTACGTGCTTGTAGTCCCAGCTACATGGGAGGCTGAGGCAGGAGAATTGCTTGAACCTGGGAGGCGGAGGTTGCAGTGGGCCGAGATCGCGCCACTGCACTCCAGCCTGGACAAGCGTGAGACTCTGTCTCAAAAAAAAAAAAAAGAAGAAGAAGAAGAAGAAAAGAAAACAAACACTGAATCAAAACCAGGAGCGGGTAACGGGTTTGGGAGCTCTTAAACTCCAGGCCACACCCCATCAGCAGACCCACCTGGTGGACAGGGTGCTAGGGAGGTCTGCCTTAGGGAGAAGCTGCTTCCTTAGCCCACCAGATCCCCCAGGGCAGCTCCTGCCTTTGGCCCCCATGCCTGCCCTCTCCCTGCTGCCCACCAAAGTCTCAGACTCTTAAGGGTACCTCTGTGAGGGGTCGAGGCCGTTTCTCCACTGCAAACTCTGTGTGGCACAGCTCACAGTAGCTAGTGTTAGACGAGGAAAGCCACCTCTCCAGACAGCTCTTGTGCACGGCGCCCAGGGTGCCAGTGCAGCCACATGGGGACAGCAAGCATTCCCCGTTTGCTCCCTCATGGCAGATCCGGCAGAAGGGACCGTCGCTGGACATGGAGACAGGACCCGTGAGCAATGATTGGGCTTTCTGTCTATACCTGCTTCACTACCCACTGGATCACAAGCTCGCCGTTACCCCATGCTGCCACTTGCTGAGCTCCTACTCATTCTTCAATGCCCAGCTCCAAATGTCCTCCCCTTTCAGAAGGAGATGCAGGGGAAGTAACCTTGCAAAGCCTTCCCAGTGATGTGTTCCCTTCCCACGGAACCTGCAGCACCCTCTCAGACCCAGGATGGGTATCTTATACCCACCCCTCAATGTCCTCTCCAAATTTTTCTAAAATACTACCTTGATTATCCTGCACAGCTTCCCCACCCTCAACTCTTAATCCTCAAGGACCTGCTGCGTGAAGTGGCTCATGCCTGTAATCCCAGTACTTTGGGAGGCTGAGGCACTCGAGGTCAGGAATTCAAGACTAGACTGGCCAACATGGTGAAACCCTGTCTCTTCTAAAAATACAAAAATTAGCCAGGTGTGGTGGTGGGTGCCTGTAATACCAGCAACTGGGGAGGCTGAGGTAGGAGAATCACTTGAACCTAGGAGGCAGAGGTTGCAGTGAGCCGAGATTGCGCCACTGGACTCCAGCCTAGACGACAGAGTAAGACTCCGTCTCAAAACAAAAACAAAACAACAACAAAAAAAAACCAAAAAAAAAAAACAGTCCTCAAGGACTAGGGCAGAGCAGACAACACTCCTGGTGACCTCAGGCCTCAGGCTTGACCAGTCAGAACACCAGGCCAAGTGCAATAGCTCATGCCTGTAATCCCAGCATTTTGGAAGGCTGAAGCAGGAGGATCACTTGAGCCCAAGAGTTCAAGGCCAGTGTGGACAACATAGTGAGACCCCATCTCTACAAAAAAAAAAAATGTTTTAAGAATTAGCTGAAGCCGGGCGCGGTGGCTCAAGCCTGTAATCCCAGCACTTTGGGAGGCCGAGGCAGTGGATCACAAGGTCGAGAGATCGAGACCAACCTGGTCAACATGGTGAAACCCCGTCTCTACTAAAAATACAAAAAATTAGCTGGGCATGGTGGCGCGTGCCTATAATCCCAGCTACTCAGGAGGCTGAGGCAGGAGAATTGCCTGAACCCAGGAGGCGGAGGTTGCGGTGAGCTGAGATCGTGCCATTGCACTCCAGCCTGGGTAACAAGAGCGAAACTCCGTCTCAAAAAAAAAAAAAAAAAAAAGAATTAGCTGGGCATGGTGTCACATGTCTGTGGTCCCAGCTACTTAGGAGGCTGAGGTAGAAGAATCACTTGTGCCCAGGAGTTCAAAGCTCCAATGAGCCATAATGGTACCACTGCACTCCAGCTTGGACAACAGAGTGAGACCATTTGAAAAAGAAAAAAGAACACCATGCATCCCTGCTCATGGTGACCAACTCAGGCTTGTATGATATAATCAGCCACCAATAAAATCCTTTTCTAAAAAATTCTTTGTTTTCCCCTAAACTCCGTAACTGTCAGCCACAAGGCTGACATAAGCCTGGAGCTGATGGCAGCTGCCAGCTGCCTAGTCTCTGCATGGAACCTGTGAATGATGCCAGCACAGAGAAGAGCAGAGCCAAGAGACAGGGAAAGGTAGACTCTTAAGGACATCATCAGAGGCCCCTGGATCTAACCACACCTGAAGCCCATGCTGCTTGAGAAACCTATGCATCCAGAGAGAAGTGCTCACCTGCTCCTCTGCCTTTGTTGGGGGAAACAGATATAAAAAGCATTTGCAGAAAGCCACCTCAGAAAAGTCTCCAGCCCTGGCCCAGTCTCTGGAGATGCTGGGTCCTTCCTGTGACAGCTCAGAAGGCAAGGAGTGTGGCCCAAAGGCCATCTACTGTTTCCCAAACGTTTCTGGCCAGAAGGCAGACTGTGAGGTTGCACAAAGAAGAGCTATTTTCCAGACAATGCCAGTTTCCTCTTAGAGAGACTGTATTCTTTTCTTTCTTTCCTCCCTTTTTTTTTTTTTTTTTTTTTAATGTCACTCAGGCTGGAGTGCAGTGATATGATCTCAGCTCACTGCAACCTCTGCCTCCTGGGTTCAAGTAATCCTCCTGCCTCAGCCTCCCGACTTGGGACAATACACACATGCCACCATGCTTGGCTAATTTTTGTATTTTTAGTAGAGACGGGGTTTCACCATGTTGGCCAGGCTGGTCTTGAACTCCTGACCTCAAATGGTCCACCTGCCTCAGCCTCCCAAAGTGCTAGGATTATAGGCGTGAACCATCATGGCAGGCCCTCTTTTCTTTTTTGAGACAAGGTCTAGCTGTGCTGCCCACGCTAGAGTGTAGTGGTGCAATCAGCTCACTGTAGCCTCAAACTCCCTGGCTCACGCGAACTTCCTGCCTCAGCCTCCCAAGTAGCTGGGACTACAGGCAGTGCCACCCTATGCAGCTCATGTTTTTTTATATTTTCTAGAGAGCAGGGGTCTCACTATGTTGACCAGGCTGGCCTGGAACTCCTAGGCTCAAGCAATCCTTCAGCCTTGAACTTTCAAAGTGCGGGATTATAAGCATTAGCCACCATGCTTGTCTGGAAATGACTGTTTTCTTTTTCCTTTCTTTTCTTTTTGAGACAGTATCTCACTCTGTTGCCCAGGCTGGAGGGCAGTGGTGTGATCTTGGCTTACTGCAACCTCTGCTGCCTAGATGCAAGCAATTCTCTTGCCTCAGCCTCCCAAGTAGCTGGGATTACAGCCGTATGCCACCATGCCTAACTAATTTTTGTAGTTTTCATAGAGAAAGGGTTTGACCATCTTGGCCAGGATGGTCTTGAACTTCTGACCTTGTGATCCCCTGCCTTGGCCTCCCAAAGTGCTGGGATTAACAGGTGTCAGCCACTGTGCCCAACTGGAAAGGACCGTTTTCTTTTTTTATTTTATTTTATTTTATTTTATTTTACCGTTTTCTTTTTATCTTTTTTTTTTTTTTTTTGAGACAGAGTCTGACTCTGGCTCTGTAGCCCAGCTGGAGTGCAGTGGCGTGATCTTGCCTCACCACAACCTCTACCTCCTGGGTGCTTGCTCAAACAATTCTCCTGCCTCAGACTCCCAAGTAGCTGGGATTACAGGCATGTGCCACTGTGCCTGGCTAATTTTTTTTTTTTTTTTTTTTGAGACGGAGTTTCGCTCTTGTTACCCATGCTGGAGTGCAATGGCGCGATCTCGGCTCACCGCAATCTCCGCCTCCTGGGCTCAGGCAATTCTCCTGCCTCAGCCTTCTGAGTAGCTGGGATTACAGGAACGCGCCACCATGCCCAGCTAGTTTTTTTTGTATTTTTAGTAGAGACGGGGTTTCACCATGTTGACCAGGATGGTCTCGATCTCTTTTTTTTTTTTTTTTTTGAGACGGAGTTTCGCTCTTGTTACCCAGGCTGGAGTGCAATGGCGCGATCTCGGCTCACCGCAACCTCCGCCTCCTGGGTTCAGGCAATTCTCCAAAGTGCTGGGATTACAGGCTTGAGCCACCGCGCCCGGCCATTTTTGTATTTTTTAGTAGAGACAGTGTTTCACCATGTTGGCCAGGCTGGTCTTGAACTCCTGACCTTGTGATCCACTTGCCTCGGACTCTCAAAGTGCTGGGATTACAGATATGAGCCACTGTGCCCGGCTAGAAATGACTGTTTTCTATCCTTTTCTCAGATTCTCATGCTGTGGGTGGGGTTGGGCTGCTTTGAAAGGAGCACATCAGGCTGCTCATGTCAGCTTTCTCAACAGTCCTGTCCCTAAACTATTATTTCCTCCTGCAAAGGCAAAAGAACATGCCTGCCTGCCTCCTTTCTAAACCCATACCCTGATCCCATCCTCCCTCAAGTATACACACAAACAAAGTTAACAGAAAAGAAGCCCCTGCTCCGGAAACCAACTCAGGGAAACAGAAGTGACGAGAATCTTGAGGAAGAACCACGTCAGTTTGGAGCTTGTTCTGGAAAACCCTGAAAAAGTTTGGGAAGAGCAAATACAGAGAAGAGGCCAGGCATGGTGGCTCACGCCTGTAATCCCAATATTTTGGGAGGCTTAAGTGGGTAGATCATCTGAGGTCAGGAGTTCAAGACCAGCCTGACCAACATGGTGAAACCCCATCTCTACTAAAAAAATACAAAAATAAGCTGAGCATGGTGGCAGGTACCTATAGTCCAAGATAATCCCGAGATTAAGGCAAGAGAAATCCATGAACCCAGGAGGCAGAGGTTGTAGTGAGCCAGATCACGCCACTATACTCCAGCCTAGGGGACAAAGTGAGATTCTGTCTCCAAAAAAAAAAAGGCTGGGTACAGTAACTGACACCTGTAATCCCAGCACTTTGCGAGGATGAGGTCAGGAGTTCGAAACCAGCTTGACCAATATGATGAAACCCCTTCTCTACTAAAAATACAAAAATCAGCTGGGTGTGATGTCTCATGCCTGTTGTCCCAGCTACTAGGGAGGCTAAGGCAGGAGAATCACTTGAACCTTGGAGGCGGAGGTTGCAGTGAGCTGAGATTGCACCACTGTACTCCAGCCTGAGCGACAGGGTGAGACTTTCTCCAAAACAAATTTAAAAAAGAGAGGGTGTTTGTTGGTTCTTTACTAGTGAGTGTAGAAAAAAAAGAGAGACAGAAGGTGGGCATGGTTGTTCACACCTGTAATCCCAGCAGTGTGATTATCCCTCCTCAGGGAGGCTGAGATAGGCAGATCACCTGAGGTCAGGAGTTCGAGACCAGCCTGGTCAACATGGTGAAACCCCGTCTCTAAAAGAAGTACAAAAATTAGCCAGGCGTGGTGGCGGGCACCTGTAATCCCAGCGACTCAGGAGGCTGAGACAGGAGAATTGCTTGAATCTGGGAGGCGGAGGTTGCAATGAGCAGAGATTTCGTCACTGAACTCCAGCCTGGGCAACAAATTGAGACTCTGTCTCAGGAAAAAAAAAGAGATACAGTGGTGAAATAACTTGTCCCAGGTCACTCTGGGAGAGAAGGAGGTGTCCACTCTGGGTCAGAGCCCAGGCACTGAGCCATAGGCTGCACTCCTCACCAACCCCTATACTGCCTCCCAAAAGTGAGTTACTTGCCGACATTTGAACTTCAGATTTCACATGATACTCTGGAATTTCAGCTTTTCCTAAAGAATCAGACCTGGCCAGAGCTAGGCCTCTGTTTCCGCAAGGCAATAACTGTGTCTTTTTTTCTATTTACCCATTTGGCCCTCTTTGATGGTTGGACTTTGGATCCCAGGCTGCGAGAAAGTCACGGAAAAGGCAGCCAAGGCCAGGACATCCATGTGGTCACCACTCACCTTGGTGTGTCCAAGGCACGGATGACAGTGGAGAGGAGCCGGCCATCCCTTGAAGTCACTTGTGCCACATAATGGGGTGGACCGAGGCCTGCGGCCTCCACGACCTTGGAGAAAGCAGGGCTGCCAGAGCAGTCACACAGGGAGCCAGGAAGGTGGCAGCAGTCACCCGTCGTCATGGCCACAGGGAGCCCCGTATCCTCAGGGCCTGAGGCCCATGGTCACAGGAGCCTGGGAAGAGGCCAGTGCGGAGGTTAGGGGCAAGATTAGTGGGCCTGACAGACTAAGCTTTGAGTCCCCTCTTGTCAAGGCTGCAGGGACCACTAGACCATTTACATCTCTGAGCCTCAGTTTGCATGATCTGTAAAATGGGACAGTGAGGAATCAATGAGATGACGCATGTAACTCAGCACAAGTAAAGCTAGGCTTGGCCAGGTGTGGTGGCTCACGTCTATAATCTCAGTGCTTTGGAAGCCAAGACAGGAGGATTGCTTGAGCCCCAGGAGTTTGAGACCAGCCTGGGCAACACATCAAGACTCTGTCTCTACAGAAAAAATAAGAAAATTAGGCTGGAAGCAGTGGCTGACACCTGTAATTCCAGCACTTTGGATTCAAGACAATCTGCCCACCTCAGATTGCCTGAGCTCAGGAGATTGAGACCAGCCTGGGCAATATGGTGAAACTCTGGCTCTACAAAAAAATAAAATAAAAATTAGCCAGGCATGGTGGCACAGGGCTATAGTCCCAGCCACTCGTGAGGCTGAGGTAGGAGGATGACTTGAGCCCAGGAGTTTGCGGCTGCAATGAGCTACAATGGTGCCACTGAACTCCACCCTGTGCCACAGAGTGAGACCTTGTATCTAAAAAAGAGAAGACAGGTTGCACGCAGTGGCTCACACCTGTAATCCCAGCACTTCGGGTGGCCGAAGAGGGTGGATCATGAGGTCAAGAGATCGAGGCCATCCTGGCTAACATGGTAAAACCCCGACTCTACTAAAAATATAAAAATTAGTTGTGTGTGATAGTGCGCACCTGTAGTCCCAGTTACCAGAGGCTGAGGCAGGAAAATCACTTGAACCTGGGAGGTGGAAGTTGCAGTGAGCTGAGATCATGCCACCGCACTCTCCATCCTGGGTGACAGAGTGAGACTCTGTCTCAAAAAAAAAAAAAAAAAAAGAGAAGACATGCAAAGATAGGCCTGCTCATACCCTCAAAGCCTCCAGGGCTAGGACCATCTTTCAACTAATATCATCTTTCCAGATATGGTATCAGCACCAGTTCTTATTTTTCTTTTCTTTTTTTTTTGCTTTGAGACAGAGTCTCGCTCTGTTGCCCAGGCTGGAGTGCAGTGGCACGATCTTGTCTCACTGCAACCTCTGCCTCCCAGAATCAAGCCATTCTCCTGCCTCAGCCTCCCGAGTACCTGGAATTGCAGACACCTGCCATCATACCCAGCTAATTTTTCTATTTGTAGTAGAGATGGTTTTTTTTTTTTTTTTTTTTTTTTTTTTTTTTTTTTTGAGACGGAGTTTCGCTCTTGTTACCCAGGCTGGAGTGCAATGGCGCCATCTCGGCTCACCGCATCCTCCGCCTCCTAGGTTCAGGCAATTCTCCTGCCTCAGCCTCCTAAGTAGCTGGGATTACAGGCATGTGCCACCATGCCCAGCTAATTTTTTGTATTTTTAGTAGAGACGGGGTTTCACCATGTTGACCTTGATGGTCTCGATCTCTTGACCTCGTGATCCACCCGCCTCGGCCTCCCAAAGTGCTGGGATTACAGGCTTGAGCCACCGCGCCCGGCGAGATGGGGTTTAACCATGTTGGCCAGGCTGGTCTTGAACTCTGACCTCAGGTGATCCACCTATCTCAGCCTCCCAAAGTGCTGGGATTACAGGCTTGAGCCATTGCAGCCAGTCAAGAATTTCACTGAAGAAACAAGGGCCCTTTCTGGAGACCTCCTTGAAGCCAATACAGGTGCCCTGGAGCCAAGGATCTCTGTCCCCAGCTTGTCCAACCCCCAAGAGCTACAACGTCCAGAGCCACTGCAGCTCCTAAAGTGTTCAGAAAATCCAAGCAAGAGAGGCAGTCAAGTACTCACTGAAGTACTCCCACCCCCACCCCAAGTCCGCTTTTAAACTGCCAATCAAAACCCAAGCCCTAGGCCAGGTGCAGCTGTTCATACCTGTAATCCCAACGCTTTGGGAGGTCCAAGCAGGAGGATCACTTGAGGCCAGGAGTTTGAGACCAGCTAGGGCAACACAGAAAGATCCTAACTCTATGAAGGTGTTTTTTTTTTTTGTTTTGTTTTGTTTTTTTTAATTAGCCAAGCATGGTGGTGCAAGCCAATAGTCCCAGCTACTTGGAAGGCTGTGGCAGGAGGATGCCTTGAGCCCAGGATTCCAAAGCTATAGTAAGCTATGATCACACCACTGCACTCCAGCCTGGGTGACAGAGCAAGACCCAGTCTCTAAAACAAAACAAAAGAAAGAAAGAAAAAAAAAAAATCTGAGACCCAAAGTGGGGAGGTGAGAGCACTTATTGACTAACTGCTGCACTAGGACAGTCCACCGATGGATAAATGCCCTCTAGACAGCTCTGCCAGCAACCTGCCTGGCTCCACATGTTTTTCTGAGCATCACAGCTGGGCCCCTGCAGGCCAGATAAGCAAGTATTGCCCAAAGGCAGGGGCCCAAGAGGAAGGCTGCAGGCCTAAGATAACATGCACAGGGCAGTGGCCGGGCCTGACATGGGTGCCTGCTGCTGTCCCTCCCAAGTCCCTGCAACCAGAACCTTCAGCTCAGAGGCCAGAAGGGAAGCTGCTGGGCTCTTTATGGGAAGAAGGGCAGAGGAAAGTCCCTTCCTCCAGTCCTGGCCCCTCTGAGGCTAGATCTTTACATTTCTTTTTCCTTTTTTTTTTTTTTTTTTTTTTAAAGACAGGGTCTTGGCCAGGCATAGTGGTCCACTCCCATAATCCCAGCACTTTGGGAGGCTGAGGTGGGTGGATCACCTGAGGTCAGGAGTTTGAGACCAGCCTGGACAACATAGCAAAACCCCATCTCTACTAAAAGTACAAATATTAGTCAGGTGTGGTGGTGGGCACCTATAAGCCCAGGCACTTGGGTGTCTGAGGCAGGAGAAGCGCTTGAACCCAAGAGGTGGAGTTTGCAGAGTCAAGATGTCACAAAGCCAGGGAACTCCAGCCTGGGCAACAAAGCAAGACTCTATCGCAAAAAAAAAAAAAAAAGGAAAGAAAAGAGAAGGTGTCACTCTGTAGCCCAGGCTGGAGGGCAGTGTTGTGATCTCAGCTCACTACAACCTCAGCCTCCCAAGTTCAAGAGAGTCTCCTTGTTTCAGCCTCTTGAGTAGCTGGGACTGCAGCTATGTATCACCACACACAGCTAATTTTTTTTTTTTTTTTTTTTTTTGAGACGGAGTTTCCCTCTTGTTACCCAGGCTGGAGTGCAATGGCACGATCTCGGCTCACCGCAACCTCCGCCTCCTGGGCTCAGGCAATTCTCCTGCCTCAGCCTCCTAAGTAGCTGGGATTACAGGCATGCGCCACCACGCCCAGCTAGTTTTTTGTATTTTTAGTAGAGACGGGGTTTCACCGTGTTGACCAGGATGGTCTCGATCTCTCGACCTCGTGATCCACCCGCCTCGGCCTCCCAAAGTGCTGGGATTACAGGCGTGAGCCACCACGCCCGGCCTTTTTTTTTTTTTTTTGAGATGGAGTCTTGCTTTGTTGCTCAGGCTGGAGGGCAGTGGTGCAATGTTGGCTCACTGCAACCTCTGCCTCCTAGGTTTAAGCAATTCTCCTGCCTTAGCCTCCTAAGTAGCTGGGATTACAGGCACATGCCACGATAACCGGCTAATTCTTTTTTTTCTTTTTTGAGGCAGAGACTTACTCTGTCACCCAGGCTGGAGTGCAGTGGCACAATTTTGGCTCCCTATAAGCTCTGTCTCTTGGGTTCAAGTGATTCGCCTGCCTCAGCCTCCCAAGTAGCTGGGACTACAGGTGTCCACCACTAAACCCAGCTAATTTTTGTATTTTAGTAGAGATAGGGTTTCACCATGTCAGCCAGGCTGTTCTCAAACTCCTGACCTTGTGATCCACCTGCCTCAGCCTCCCAAAGTGTTGGGATTACAAGCGTGAGCCATGATGCCCGGCCAATTCTTTTTGTATTTTTAGTACAGACGGGGTTTCACCAAGTTAGCCAGGCTGGTCTCGAACTCCTGACCTCAAGCAATCTGCCCGCTTCGGCCTCTCAAAGTGCTGGGATTACAGGCATGAGCCACTACCCCCGGCCCCACCTTTACATTTTTGCAAATAACTAGACATTACAGGAACCATCCTAGCTCCTGTATATATTGTTCTAATGTTTCTTCTATCAGGAAGAAAAAAAAACACACACACGGCTTTGCAGACGCCACCGCCACCTGGAGCCTTCTAGTATCAGCCATGGTCAACCCCACCATGTTCTTTGACATTGCTGTTGACGGCGAGCCCTTGGGCCGCGTCTCTTTCAAGCTGTTTGCAGACAAGGTTCCAAAGACAGCAGAAAACTTTCGTGCTCTGAGCACTGGAGAGAAAGGATTTGGTTATAAGGGTTCCTGCTTTCACAGAATTATTCCAGGGTTTGTGTGTCAGGGTGGTGACTTCACATGCCATAATGGCACTGGTGGCAAGTCCATCTATGGGGAGAAATTTGATGATGAGAGCTTCATCCTAAAATATACAGGTCCCGGCATCTTGTCCATGGCAAATGCTGGACCCAACACAAACGGTTCCCAGTTTTTCATCTGAACTGTCAAGACTGAGTGGTTGGATGGCAAGCATGTGGTTTTTGGCAAGGTGAAAGAAGGCATGAATATTGTGGAGGCCATGGAGCACTTTGGGTCCAGGAATGGCAAGACCAGCAAGAAGATCACCATTGCTGACTATGGACAACTTTAATAAGTTTGACTTGTGTTTTATCTTAACCACCAGACCATTCCTTCTGTAGCTCAGGAGAGCATCCCTCTACCCCGTTTGCTCGCAGTATCCTAAAATCTGTGTTCTCCCTGCAGTTCCCTTTGAGTTCCATGTTTTCCTTGTTCCCTTCCACGCCTAGCTGGATTGCAGAGTTAAGTTTATGATTATGAAATAAAGACTAAATAACAACAACAACAACAAAAAAAAACCACACAGGTAAATCTGCTAATGCAAGGCCTGAAAACCACCAAAATTATACTAGTAGCTTCTATCTATTAAGAACTGAGGGCTGGGCATGGTGGCTCACGTCTGTAATCCCAACAACGTTCAAGGCCGAGGCGGGAGGATCACAAGGTCAGGAGACAGAGACCATCCTGGCTAACATGGTGAAACCCGGTCTCTACTCAAAATACAAAAAGTTAGCCGGGTTTGGTGGCGTGCGCCTGCAGTCCCAGCTACTGGGGAGGCTGAGGCAGGAGAATCGCCTGAGGTAGAGGTTGCAGTGAGCTGAGATCGAGCCACTGCATTCTAGCCTGGGCAACAGAGTGAGACATGGTCTCCAAAAAAAAGAAAAAAGAACCGAATACTGTGCCATGCAATCTCCATACATAGTCATCATCTTACTGAACTCGAGACAGTTTTTATAAGTGTCTCCTTCAAAGGTCACCTTCCTGGGGAAGCCTTCTCTGACAATGCTGTCTGGGAGCCGGGCGCATTGGCTCACACCTATTAATCCCAACACTTTGGGAGGCTGAGGTGGGAGGATTGCCTGAGCCCAGGAGTTTGAGAGAAGCCTGGGCAGCATACCAAAACCCCGTCTCTACAAAAAATACAAAAATGAGCTGGGCATGGTGGTGTGTGCCTGTAATCCCAGTTACTTAGGAGGCTCAGGTGGGAGAATCACTTGAGCCCAGGCTGGAGTGCAGTGGTGCAATCATCACTCAGTGCAGCCTCAACCACAGAGCAACACCCTGTCTCAATCAATCAATCAATCAATCATGATTGGAGTCCACATGATTCCCCTCGTGGCATGTGTCCCTGTCTGAAATATTCTACTTATTCATCTAAGCATTTAACCATGTCTGTCATCCCATCCTACAGAGAATTCTATAAAAAGGAGACCCTATCAGATTGCCTCCTGCTGTCCCCAGAACCTAGTCCTGTGTCTAGCCCAGAGCTGCTGTATTTGTGGTTGCTGCTGCAGTCATTTCTCTTTTCTTTTCTTTTTTTTTTTTTTTTTTTTTTTTTTTTTGAGACGGAGTTTCGCTCGTTACCCAGGCTGGAGTGCAATGGCGCCATCTCGGCTCACCGCAACCTCCGCCTCCTGGGTTCAGGCAATTCTCCTGCCTCAGCCTCCTGAGTAGCTGGGATTACAGGCATGATGTGCCACCATGCCCAGCTAATTTTTTTGTATTTTTAGTAGAGACGGGGTTTTACCGTGTTGACCAGGATGGTCTCGATCTCTTGACCTCGTGATCCACCCGCCTCGGCCTCCCAAAGTGCTGGGATTACAGGCTTGAGCCACCGCGCCCGGCCATTTCTCTTTTCTAATTTTTTTGAGGTGGAGTCTTGCTCTGTTGCCCTGGGCTGGAGTGCAATTGTGCGATCTCGGCTCACTGCAACCTCCACCTCCCGGGTTCAAGGGATTCTCCTGCCTCAGCCCCCCAAGTAGCTGGGATTACAGGCACTCACCACCATGCCCGGCTAATTTTTGTATTTTTATTTTATTTTATTATTATTTTTTTTTTTGTGAGAAGGAGTCTCACTCTGTTGCCCAGGCTGGAGTGCAGTGGCGCCATCTCAGCTCACTGCAACCTCCACCTCCTGGGTTCAAGCAATTCTTCTGCCTCAGCCTCCTGAGTAGCTGGGACTACAGGCGCATGCCACCATGCCCAGCTAATTTTTCTATTTTTAGTAGAGACAGGGTTTCACCATGTTGGGCAGGGTGGCCTCAAACTCCTGACCCCAACTGCCTCGGCCTTCCAAAGTGCTGAGGTTACAGGCTTGAATCACTGTGTGCCTGGCCTATTTCTTTTCTTTCGTCTTTTTTTTTTTTTTTTTTTTTTTTGAGGCAGGGTCTCACTCTGTCACCCACAAGGCTGGAGGGCAGTGGAGGAATCACAGCTCCACTACCTCAGGTTCAGGTGATCCTACCACCTCAGCCTCCGGAGTAGCTCTGCACACCACCAAGCCCTGCTAATTTTTTGTAGAGATGGTGTTTTGCCATGTTGCCCAGGCTGGTCCTGAACTCCTCGGTTCCAGTGATCTGCCCGCCTCAGTCTCACAAAGTATTGGGATTACAGGCATGAGCCACCACGCCCAGCCTGGGGATAGATCTCACTGAGTCCTCACAACAAACCAATAATTATACCCTATAATGGGGGGAGAGGCTGAGGCTCAGAGAGAGGCACCTATTTCCCCACAATCAGAAAGCTAGGAATGGGTGGTGTCAGAATTCAAACTTAAAACACTACAGGGAGTGGGTCTGGACCTCAAGAGACCTTGGTTCTTTAACTCCTGGCTCTCCTGGCTCTGCCACCCATGCTGGGTGTCCTTGATCAAGTCACTTTGCTTCTCTGGGCCTCATTCTAATGATGGAGCTGGTGGACTGTGTCTGTGGAGGGGTCTACTGAGAAGAAGCCTCCAGGCTGAATTCA